CGTTGACAGGCGATGCCACGTTTTATCTAGTTTTTAATGCTGATCGTACACATGTTACGCTTGTGAATTAAAGTTATTAATCTAAGCGTATTATAAATTTTTACACGTGTATACATGTAAGAATAACTTAAGATCTAGTTTTAATATTAATTACTTGGCAACTCGCAAGTCCTTTGGACGAGTAAAGAAATGAAACTTTATCGCTCATCCATTATTAAAATTGATTAAAATTTATTCACACACACACACAAATAGTCTCATTTCTTAGATGAAAGAAAAGAAACGAGATTTATATCATAAATTATGATTTCAAATACGTCCATATCGTAAATATCTTTGGAAAAGGTCTTTGCGAGACATTTCGGTATGGACATTTCTAATGCGTTTACTTACGTATATCAGGTATAAAAAATTAAATATTTTATAATAAAAGTTATATTTGTGGCAGTAACTTAATATACTATAATTTGCAACAATCTATACATAGAATATAAAAGAAAAAATTGTAAAAAAGTCTTGCACACGAATCCACAGGAATTGTGAAAACTTTAGAAGATGAAGAAATCGACATATACGTGAATTGAATATTTATTTTCTTTATGTCAAAGCTTCCCCAAAAAATTGTTAACATATTTCATACATATTCGAGATAAATATTGTTTTTAGCCTCCTTAGAGCAAATCATTAACAATCTCTACATGACGAGAATGTCGTGGAACCGAACACGACTCACAATCAATATTCTAAGACTCATAAACGATACCTGTTAATAATCTAAATAGAATTTATTTAGATTATAGACGACGCTTTGTAACCCTTGGTGTATTTGTCGATAGAATTCTGAATACATCGAAATTTTAAAAAGATGATTCAATGCGTCAAAGTAATCATAGCTGTGTATCATTTTTACTATTCGTACGACAAAATATTTTAATCTAATAAATATACTATTAATACAAATAATTATGAACATTTCCGATATTAATTTCTTAAGTTACACTCTTCACAATATACCCAGTTTTATTATTAATTAAATAGAGTATTAAAATTTTCATAAAAATACGATCTATTTATCAACAAATAAATTATTCTAATAATTTTTCATACTATCGCGAATTTATTTTAAATTTTAAATATTTTCAATAAATGCACCTACAGCACATCTGTTTGCAATTTC